AAAAAAAAAAAAAAATTCAAAAGTTGGGAGGGCACGTGCCCCCCAGGACCCCCCCCCCCCTTGGGTCCTCCCCTGCCTGAAGCCCATTTTTATACTTATTTTTATTTGAGTAATGCTATTTGTACACAATACATTATTGTATACATAATAGTATAAAGATGGATAAATGACATTAAAAAAAAAAGAGAAATATTATAATAATTGAGTTTCTTTTCTTTCCATCTCTATTTTTTTTCCTCTCTTTCTCTCTCTTTTGTGTCATCTTGTATCTGTACACCATTATGTACTATAATAATTAGAATTTAATAATAAAAAATAAAATAAATTTTTATAAAAAAATTTCTGAAGAATTTTGAGATGATGAAAATTTAGAAGCTTGAACTTGGAAGATTGAAAAGTAGAAAATTATGAAGCAAAAAACAAAGCTGTGGTGCTAAGCAACAAGCAAGTTGTAAATTTAGTGGTATATGTTAATCTAGGTCAATTCTTAAAAATTATAAGTTAGTTTCATGAGAATAATTCAACCAAAACAAAACATTTTAATTTCTAATTTTTTATTAGGCTTACATTTGAAAGGATTGATTCTTGTAAACCATAGTGGCATAATTCCAGGTCAATATCTCAATAATTCATCATTATAATATAAATATTGAATTAACAATGAATTCACGAGCCTGAATGTCTTGGTCTTTTCATCACCAATTGCAAGCAGTATTCGAAGGCGTAAACTTCAACATGTGTATATATATTAGGTCAAAAAGCTTTTGGTTAAAACGATGGAAATTCATACTTAGTTGCCTTCACAATTTTTTATAATATAATAATCTCTCTCTCTCTCTCTCTCTCTCTCTCTCTCATGTGTATTATATGTATGTAATATGTATGTTTACTTGGAAATTTCGTTCTAAATATACCTATTAGACAGAATATAAAGTTTGGATGATAAGATGATCATCGATAATATCAATGTTTTGAATTTACTTAGTCATCTACATAAATAGTTCAATAATTTACATCATTGCTAAGTAAAGTCTAAAAATCATTATGAGCCACATAGACAATACACTATGATGATGAGTATAATTAGCGCGAATGAATTGAAGGATCTCTCAAGGCTTGTGTTTGGTAGCCATTTCCCATTCGTTTTTAGATATTATCTGATCGTTGCACATTAAATGGGCCTTTGAATTTCACTCCCCTCTGACACGTAAAAGACATACGTCTGTAAAACGAAGATCATTTCATTTACCACTTGCCCTTTTTACCCTCTACACTCCAACCACCTTCAATCAATTCCAAAAATGGGTAGTTGGAGGCATGTGGGTAAAAGTCTTCAAAATTCACATGCAACCGTTCTTTGTCGTCAAAACCTTCAATTAATTGAAATTGGACTGCTCTGTGCAACGGCCAAATAATCTCTAAAAATGGACAAAAAATGTCGAACAAATAGGCGCTAGGTTTTACTTTGTAATTTCATCTCCTCCATAAGTTCAATTTCATTACACCATTCGCTCGAGGTCAAGCATAACCTTCCTTGAGTATATATTAGTTTTTATTTGCGTTATTAATAAAACGGGCCACAGATAACACTTTAGGGCCTTGTTTGGTTTAGATAAAAGTTGGTTTTTTAATAGATTTTGATAAGTTGAAATTACACTCGCTACAAAAATTTGACTTTGCATTTCAAAAATCAAGTGCAAATAATTTCTTTCGAAAAATCAAGAGCACCCTATTCAAAAATCTATGACCTCTCTCTCTCTCTCTCTCTCTCTCTGGCCTTGTCATAAAGTTGAAGACCATCAATATAGAAGGGAGAAAGCAGATGGGATTTACCATTATATTTGTAAAACTTACAAACATAAAAAATGTAGGGCAATGCAGAAATTTTGAATTAATCTAACGATCTAAAGTACATATGTTGTTTCGTTTATTGTTTGGATATTCCTTTCAAGCCCTCATAATTCTCTATAAATACCTGATTCATTCGAACTCAATATTCACAACTTCAAATTAACTGCCCTTGACATTTTATAATAATGGATAGCCAAAGCAGCCACATGATGATCGGTGAGGCCAATGCATCGCGACTTATGGATCATTTCCGTGTTGATCAGGCAACCGGAATCACAAAACCAATGATCAAGCGCTCTGATTTTCCCCAGGATTTTGTCTTTGGTTCTGCAACATCTGCTTATCAGGTATGTCAATTATACGCAAAGTAAATGCTGAAAGGATCTGAATATGTATATTATATTAAACTTTTATCATAATACTCAAAAATGGAAAAGGAAAAGAAAAAGAAAAAAGGCTTGCAAATTGCTTGTGTTTTGGTTAATTTGTTTTCTTTAATGCCGTGTATTTTAGGTTGAAGGCGCTTGGAACACAGATGGAAAAGGCCTCAGCAACTGGGATGTCTTCACAATGAGAACACCTGGTCTCTTTTTCTCTCTAGTAATCACACACACACACATTATATGTGAATTTATAATTTATGTGTTACATGTCAATTCCTGAGTGTGTTTGTTGGAGTGGCAGTTAAAATTCACGGTGGAACAAATGCTTGTACTACTATTAATCAGTATAGCAGGATCAAGGTAATCCAGTAATTTCATTTGTTATTGCACAAAGTTGATGAACATTATCAGGAAAATTTGGAAAATAGTTCTTTAGTAGAGTATATTTGAATATTTTCAAGAATGTTGCAGGAAGATGTGACTTTGATAAAGAAAGTGGGTTTGGATTCTTATAGATTTTCAATTGCATGGGCTAGAGTACTACCAGGTGTGTGTGTGTATATATATATATATGGAATACCAACAATAAGAATGAATTATTTTTGCATCATTTTGTCAGAAGAATTCAATGAAGTTTTTATTTTAATTGGTTTTTTCTGTATTGGTATTTTAGGAGGAAGATTAAGCGCAGGCATAAACCAAGAAGGAATTAACTACTACAATAAAATCATAGACTTGCTTCTCGCCGAAGGTTAATTAGACTCCAATACAATTATGTTTTATAACAATTTTCTGTTTATTTCTTTTTACTTCACAATTGGAATGCTGAAATTTATGAGTTTTTATACAAAATTTAAAACAAAGGGCTAAAACCTTGAATTCTTAAATTTACTTCTTTGTAGGAATTGAGCCATGTGCGACTATTTTCCATTGGGATGTGCCCCAATGTTTGGAAGATGAGTATGGTGGCTTCTTAAGTTCTCGAATAGTGTACGTAACTGAATATTGTCGAACAATTCACCTTTTCATTAGATATTGTTTGGATATTTGTATTATCAATTCAAGATAGTGTACACAAATTAATTTTCATCCAAAAAGACACAGTGAACCATATATGTACATATATTGATAATTTTTTCCATTTATTTAATAGGAATGATTTTTGTGAGTTTGCCGAAGTTTGCTTTTGGGAATTTGGTGATAGGGTAAAAAATTGGATCACCCTGAACGAGCCATGGTCCTTTGCCGTTCAAGGTTATGTAACTGGTCATTTTCCACCTGGTCGGGGTCGAACTACAATAGAGCCAATAAAGGCTATCCCTCTCCATAGATGTAAACCTGGGCCTCCATTTACTCTTTACTCCATAGGAGATCCAGGCACAGAACCATATACTGTGGCACACAATTTAATCCTTTCACATGCACAAGCTGTTGATATTTATAGGCAAAGATATCAGGTAACATTTTTCTTATATTTACATCATGAAAGAAACCTATACAGTTTTTTTGTAATGTATAGTTTATACAAATACATACGTACAGGCACATCAAGAGGGCAAGAAAAACCTATACAGTTTTTTTGTAATGTATAGTTTATACAAAAACATACGTACAGTCACATCAAGAGGGCAAGATAGGGGTAACAAATGTCTCACAGTGGTTTGTGCCACTCAATGACACCAAAGATGATGAGAAGGCCGCTTCAAGGGCAATCGATTTTATGTTGGGATGGTAAATGGATTTCTCATTTCATCCTCTTACAAGAAGCCAATGTACTTAATTTGTTCGCTTCCTAATGAAGCGGCGCACTTGACTTATTTTGTTGCTTTCGATATATATATTTTCGGCAATGCAAACTTAAATTGTAGGTGACTTTCATGTGAATAAAAGTTGGAAACCAAAATCGTTAAACCACTTAATATTCCCTAAACTTAACATGGCATGCGATTTTAACTTCTACATTGTCAAATTTTGTCACATAGTGTAAATTTGGTTGGGGTTAAAACCTCATTTTTGAATGTTGAAGAACATTTTCACACTACATGACAGGTTAAGTATTACTTGTGTAAACATTGTAACATTTCTTAGAAGCGTAATTAGTTTTGTAGAATATTAGTTATGATATAAAATAGCTCCTTAAATTGAATTTTATTGTGGATCAAAAGTCTCAGTAACTCTCTTTTCCCATTTTTTTCAGGTTTGTAGCACCAATAGTAACCGGTGATTACCCACTAACTATGAGGGAAAGAGTTGGAGAACGTCTTCCTGAATTTTCACCTGAACAAAAAAAGTTGGTGTCGGGATCCTACGATTTTTTAGGCATAAATTATTACACTTCTATTTATGCTAGCAATTCACCTAGGAAGAAACCTGGTACAAAACCGAGTTATGAAACTGACCTAGAAATTTCATTATCAGGTAAGTATGAGGATCTTGTTCAAGAATAATTATATATTAAGCTTACTACAAGATGCCCACTCTCTCATTTTTTGTAGATAAACGTAAAGGGGAGCCTATTGGTCCAAAGGTATTTCTTTTAATTTTGGCTTTTCTTAAAAAGAAAATAGAAAAGAGATTAATTAATTCCAACATTTATTCTATAACATATTTTCATACGAGATTATATTCTCATAACTGACCAACTAGATTAAATAACAATTTTTTTAATTTTTTTTTATTTCAATGCGTATAGAATCTTACCATTTGTTGTTAATGTCAGGGCGGTTCGGATTGGTTGAACATTGTTCCATATGGAATTTACGAGTTATTGGTTCATATGAAGAAAACATATAATAATCCCATCATTCACATTACAGAGAACGGTATATTTATATATATAGGATGTTTATTGTCCTTTTTTTTTTTTTCTGAACATCAGAAATCTTTAGTAATATTAACCATTTTTAATGTGATTTATTGGATGCTTTACTTTTTTCGTAGGGGTGGATGAAGTGAACAATACAGAACTAACAGTTTCAGAAGCTCGGTTTGATGAGACGAGAATAAAATATCACGTAGACCATCTCCTTTACGTTAAAAGAGCAATGCAGTAAGTTATCATTCATATAATTGTTTGTCTGATCTCAATGCAAATTTATGAAACTATCTAACTATTTCTTAAAAATAAAAAAATTGTTGTTCAAGATTTTTTTTTCCTCATTTTCAGTGAAGGTGTGCAAGTGAAATCTTACTACATATGGTCAATGTTTGACAATTTTGAATGGGTCGCAGGATTCAGTGTTAGATTTGGCATTTTTTATGTAGATTATGTTAATGGTCATTTGACAAGATTTCCAAAAGCTTCTGCTATATGGTTAATGAATTTCCTGAACAAGAAGCGAATTACATTGAAGAGTTAAGATCAAGAAATGAAGAGTACATGAGATTTTGAAAGGCCAAGAAGAAGTGGAGTGTGAAATTATTCTTCTCGTGTTTCATTTTAATTGTTATGTTCATTCATGAATTCACATGTTTTCCTCTTTTTTTGCTCTTGTTGTGGCCTTTCATGTTGCTACTTTCTACTTTATATTCAATAAATTGAATTCTCATGTGTTTTTCTATTTATTTTTTAAACTCCATTTCTATTACTCACAAAATGAAGTAGAAAATACAATGCTTTGAAGGAGGGCAATGTTTTTATGGATCCGTCTCATTTAGTCCATCTCAAGCGTGCTATGGCCAATGTTTTTGTGCTTCTTTCTTGAAGACTTGTCAATCATCTAAACTATTTGTCAGAAATCCTAAAAGCATACTAGAGAAGACAAATATTATTTTTAGGACAACGTATCACATACGTGTTCAATTCAAGCCTTATTCTTCATTTCTTGTTTCCATCTCATTCTTCTCCTCTTCGATTTTTCCAACAATGTCAACACCAAAGGTATCTACGAGGCATATAACATAGCATTGGGGAGCAAACTACTATGCAACATAGATAGGAACTATGTGAGGTGCACTAAAATATGATTAGCCACAAGGTTGTGGGAAAATTTAGTCTGAGCTAATCTCTGATCCCCAAGATTCAACCTACTCTCCTACCATTCTCTGCAATAAATTACAAAGAGAACAGTTCACCTCCTCAACCTATCCAATCATTTGTGGATGATAAGCACTACTAAAATTCAAACCTGCGTCGTACTGATTCCACAGACTTCACCAAAAGTGACTAATAAACTGAGTTACACGGTCTAACAAAGTAGAGGATGGAAGGCCATGAAATCTATACACCTCATGAAAGCACAACAGAACCATAGTAACATTATCAGTTAGTTTTTTTCACGTGATGAAGTGCACCGTCTTGGATAACTAAGCAATCAGCACATATATTGAGTCATGACCCCATTGAGTACAAGGTAAACCCACTACAAACTCCCCACTAATTTCTCTCCAAGGATGTTAAGGAACGGCATCAAGCTACAAAGCTCGAGACCTCATGTCGAAGGCTTGGCCAGAAGAAAGATCGTGTTATGAGCGCACAAGTCCCATTACAGCCAACATGCTCAGTAAAGTGAGGATCCGTCAAAGTTCGAACCAAACCGCTTCGAAGCACTGGTTTGGTCCATATGGATCCGTCAACGTTTTGGTTTTGGATTGAATCAAACCACTTCATAGTATAAATTAATTTAAATTTATTCAATCCAAGTAAAACTAGACATATCTTAATTAAAAAGATACATCCATGTTTGGCCGAACCCATTTAATTAATTAAATTATTCTCAAATACCCTTCGTTATCATAATTGTGAATGCAAAACCCTCAAATTAACGACTATTGCTAAACCATATCCATTGGTTGCCCATCACAATTGAGTATACAATTAAATCTATATTTTAATTAAAAGTCACGCAATTTCTTTTCCTTCTACTAACAATTTTCTCGAATTTCGACTCAATTTTCACAATTAAATAAATACACGATTGTCTTTTAATGTTTTAGCTATTAATATATCCACAATTGCTTCCGAACATGCATTCTCTACTAGTTGTCGGATTTTTGATTCTTTATGATTTTATTGAGTGACAAAGATTTTTGACACGGTGATTTGTATTAAAAATTGGTTGCGCTAACAAGGAATCTATAGATTGTACTAAACATTAGTTGCACTAACAAGGAATCTATAGATCAGATTCATCAATATTTAGATGAGGTAAAAGCATTAGAGATTAGGAGAAAACTGTAACGGTAGTATCGTATTTGATCTTTCTATTAATTTTCTTTTATTAGTTGTTATTAAATACATTTGCTACATTCTTTAACCTTGAAATTCCAAATTGTGTTCAACCTTCAATAAGCAAATTGTGTTTTTCAACCTTCAAATTCCAGATTTAGATACAAACCTTAAGGATTCAATATATGTGAATGTTTAATTTTGCATTACGATTGTATCTCTTAATTGAATGAAAAATCCATATATATAGAAATCTTAGTTTAGGTCTAAAATAGAGTACCAATACGATATGGAACCATAGTTTTAGTTTAATTAGGATATTTCAAATTGCTGGAAATTATACTTTTGACTTTGCAATTTGGTTCCTATTATTTTCTTTTTTATTTGGATCGAGTCCTTAAATATTGTAATTGAGGTCCTTCAACTTTCAAACGTGACTCCTTGGTCCCCGGTTTTCAGAATATGTGTAACTTTCATTGTTTTGATCAAATATTGCTCATTTTCATTTGTTCTTGTCTAATTTCGGGTTTCTTCTAAAATAATCAATAAATATATAAAGTTAAGCTTTTTTTGGGCTCCACTTTAATGAGGTTTTGGAAAAAATATATATTGGAATAGTAATTTTTTGGAGAATGGGCGATTAAAAAGTTTTGGGTTTACGTATAATATTATTTTATTTAAGAATATATTTTTGAAAATGAATTTTTTTTTAAAAAAATTATTTTTGGTTTAATGTAGTCCAAACAAGGGCCAAGTATCTCATTCACAAAATTACTCCCAAAAAATTAGTATAATACAAACACTTATCAGTTTCAAAACAACGATTCAGTTTGGTTTTACAGTTTTTTGTGCAGCCGTATAAGGTACCATTCTCGTTAAAGAGATCTAGATAAGTATACAAAATGTACTAATCAAGTACTATCAAATTTAAACATTTTTTAATCATCGGGCAAAACAAAACACAACTATAATCAAAGCTGTAGAAAAGAGAGAACGCCTCAAATTTGTGTCTAAACATTTAATTCAAACAAAACATCCAAATATATCGTAGAAAATAATATATTTCCCTTGTTTTTTAAAGAAAATATTTTTTTTTAAGGAGTAAGTTTTTGTTTTCCTCAAAACAAGGAAAAATAATATATTTCATTTCAATCAAACACACTCTAAAATAACATTCTCAGAAAAACATTATAACAATTGTAACTTAATAATAAAAATACAATAGAATTTTATATTAAAAAAAAATTCAAATTCAGAAGAATTTTGAGATGTTACAGCTATACTATTAGAGAACAATATATGAAAATTTAAAGATTGTACACTGAAGATTGGAAAGTAGAAAAGTAAAGCAAATGACAAATCTGTGGTTGTCAAATGCTAAGCGACAAGCAAATTGTGCATTTAGGGATATTTTAATCTTATGTCAATTGTTAGAAAATGAAATAAATTCATTTCATAGAATAATAAGACCAAAACATATGTTTTTAGTTTAATTCTTACATTGTGATTTTATAAACATGTATGAATTTATCATTTTAATCTTTGCGCACTATTATGACAATTATTTGCTTATTCGTAGTGTTGGAAAATTCATGATAGGTAGAACACTGTTTATGAAACAGACGGACAATAAATATTATGAATAATATTTATGGCGTGTGCGGTCATATATGATGTCGTTCCACTACTATGTGTTTAATCTTATTAATATGTTAAGCTAAACTCTCTTTTATTGGATGGCTGATGAAGCTATTTTATTTTTATTTTTTAATTCGATACCATGTGTTTTTAGTTTAATTTTTTCATTGTGATTTCATAAACATGTATACCATGATTAACCGCTTGAAAGAATCCCCAGGTCTCTGATGCATCCCGGACCTTATCGACAATCTCTTTGTCTATTTGGATTCATAGTGATGCCATCAAGTTCTATTACCGGAAAAGTAAATTCGGCCTTCTCTGATGTTTTGTGTGCATCAATTTCAGGTGGATTAATGAATATCCGAGGAATTTTGGTAACGCCAGCATCAACAAGTCCTTTAACACCAGACTGTGTCTCATCAAATGCTTTCAATTCACTTTTCCGACCGTACTTTTGCTAGCACGAAGCCTCGATGTTAGGAACCATCATTTTTGTTCCTGGAATCCTAAGGCCAGCGTCTTACAAACAAATCAAACCAGGGTACGTTACTTGGACAAGAACATTGATTAATTATCATCCATGATAACTATAGTTCACAGCCAAATTTAGTTGCATCCACATGTTTGAGAAGTGGATAA